GGGCTTGGAGCTGGGCATGGAGCCTGCTTAAGATTCTCCCTCTCCCTCTGGCCCTCCCAGCTTGCGCACATGCTCGTGCTTTCCCTTTCTCTCCCTCCCTCTTTCTATCTCTCAAAAAAATAGTAGTGCAGAATTCCAGAAGAATTTTATTTTGTGCTGATGAACATAGGGTGATGACTTTTTAAATTTAATATTAAATGCAATCCCTGGTGATTGGTTAATAATCTTTAATTTTCCCCAAAAGCCAAAGGGTATTGAATTTTACCCAAAGCTTTTGCTTTCATGGGAGATGACTACCAGAATTGCCTTTTTTTCCTCAGCCACACTGACCAAGCTCGTGGTTTTGTCTGGCAACATCTAAGGACTCTCCTTCCTGCAAGAGGAATGTCAGGGCCCTGTGCTGGCGACACTCGGCATGAAGGTGAAGTCCCTCTGGGGCGCTGTCTCTCTGAGCTGGTATGAGACCAATCTACAGGGTTGCTCTGCCCAACTTTTGTCTTCTTCTGACTTTCGTTTTCCTCAAGTTTCAGTCTTTGGGGGAGATTATACAATGGGGCGTCTTCTCTTTGAGAATAAGCAAGGGGATAAGAGAAGGTTTTGGAGAAGATTGTGGTCTGGGGACCCTAGGCAGCATCAAGGAAGATTTTTAGAGGAAAACCACTGTCCTCCAGGCACAGGACCGCCCCAACTTGCCCACGGTTCCCATGCCCCAAATGCAGTGTGAAAGCGACAGAGCTGCTGGACTTGAAGGGACCTCACGGCAGGAAGGAAGAGGGGGCAGTCCCATGGGGATGACTGTGAACAAGAGATTAAGGCAAGAAGGGTTTTCTAGGAACTAAAGGTCGGATGTGGATAGAGACCATATCCCCAGAAGTAACTGAATAGACTTTCCCACCGTGCATGACATTTGCATAGCAATTTACATATGATTTCAGGGGGTTTAAAGCCCTTCTCTCTTCCCCATAAATGCTGTTCATGAATCCTGGCTAGAGGACTGTATTCCACAGGAAACTCTTCCTGTCTGGCTTGTTCTTTCCATTCTTCTTCATTCCCTCTCTTCCATTTCCCAATTAGGTATCATTTATTGGGGGCCTGAAAAGGAACCTTAACAATAATAATAATAGTCATGATTTTTGTTTTTTGAAAGCACTTTCCATATGCCAGGACATTTGAGATACTAATGCTTATAAGTCCCTATCAGGTAGGTATTATTATTTGCTATTTTTAGGTAAGACTCCAAACAGTTGTTATATTAAGTTACAGAGCTTGTAAAAGCCTGATTCCAATCATGGCCAACAGGTTCCTGGGCCATGGTTTTCAAATGCTGCTGAGTTTTAGAATGCCCTGGGGACTTTAAAAAGGTCTCCATCCCAGGGTGCGTGGGTGGCTCAGCCAGTTAAGTGTCTGACTCTTGATTTCAGCTCAGGTCATGATCTCACAGTTTGTGGGATCAATCTCTGTGTCGGGCTCTGTGCTGATAGCATGGATTCTCTCTCTCTCTCTCAAAATAAATAAACTTAAAAAAAAAAAAAAAAAGGATCTTTGTACCTAAGCTGCATCCCACACCAATTAAATAAAAATCCCCCTATTTTCCAACTCCCCAGGTGATGCCAAAGTGCAACAAGGAGGTCTACTGCTGAGAAGTGGTGCCCAAAGCGTCTGTATCTAACCTATACCCCCTGCCTCTAAAACCAATCTGTAGGGGTCTGTCGACGCCCAAATTCAGCACCAGAAGTCACCCCAAGCCATCATTTATCATCAGACAAGGAGGCAGGAACAGACAAGTGTTCCTCTCTTTGTTCTGTGTAAGTATTTTCTCCGGTGTCCCTCTTTAATCATGTTCAGGTTTGCCAGCACGTCAGGCCACAAGCTCTACTTGTGAACGAGTCGTGTCTGACTAGCACGCTGGCCTCAGAGCTGCTGGGGGAGGGGCTCTGGAGTGTCTCAGCTGCGTGACCTCTTCCCGCTGGTGGCTGTGAGAATGCTGCCCTTAATCAGATGCCTTCATACTGACTGCGCCTGGCAGGAGTGTAGAACTGGCCAGAGACAGCCCTGATGGAGGCGATGCAAGTGCCAGGGGCGGCGACAGTCCCTGGGGCTCAGTGAGCTGATCCCCTCTGCCAGGTATACCAATCCAGGCTTGTCAGAATGTGGGTCCTGTACCCCAAAGGATGAGCTGAGGGTGTGCCTCTGTCAAGACCAGAAAGCTATCACAGCAAGGGCCCATCTCTATGCCTTTGGCAGCTACAGATCAAGAATTAAGAGGGTTGGGGGATGGGACACAATCATGATGGCTAAAAGCAGGCCATGGGGAGAGCAGCTAGACCGGGGTGTGCAGCCTGCTGCCACTGCCCGCTATGTGACTTGGAACAGGTTTCTCAGTTCCAAAGTTCCAGTTTGCTCATTCTAAGGTGGAGGTAATTACAGCACCTTCCTCATGGGAATGTGGAGAGTGTTCAATGAGACAATGTATATAAAGCACTTAGTACGGAGCCTAGCCAACACAGCCACTGACGGTTAATTATTACTTTTACATATAACAATAGCCAACTACCAACTCTGTATTAACTGAGGCTCCAAGGCCACCCACATTGCTCAACCAAACTCTAATTAGATGTATGAGAGACACAGACTTGGGCCTCAGGCCTCACGATTACACAATAACAGAGGGTAATTCTTACCAAGAGGCCAAGCCACATGAGTTAGAAGTGGGTCAATTGGCCACCTAAATGTTGCCAACTTGCAAGGAAGGACCATGTAGACTGAGGTAGACTCTCAGGTAAGGGCTGTGCATGAAGCAGCACTTGGGTCTCAGACATTTGTCACTTAGCAGGCTAACTTTTCCCATGAGAAGAGAAGAATGTTAGTGTCCGATGAGACCTGGAAGATCACCTCCTACAAATCCCTCATGTTCTGGCTGAGGAAAGTAAAGCCCAGAGATCAAGGAGCCAGCCCCAGGCCTCCCTCTGGGAAGCAACAGCCCAGGGGTAGAATGTGGGCTTCTTTAAGCTCAGAGTCCCTGTTCTTTCCATGACGCCACACTGTCCCTTGTAAAATATGTGAGTAACAGATTAGAATCGATAGTGCTAATCTTTCTGTTCATTCCAGCCGCGGTGAAAGTATTACCTATGTGCCAAGATAAAAAGAACAATCTAATTTGGTATTTATCAAATTCAGAACTCAGAATTTAGAGGTCAGATCCTGGACAAGGTTCAGCTTCTAACCAGCTGGGGAATGACTCCTTTGAGATTCTTTACCCTTTAGGCCAGAGGGTGGCACACATTTTCTGTAAAGGGCCAGATTCGTAAGCATTGTAGCTTTCCTACCTGGATCTCTGTCGTGTTGGAGCTACTCAGTTCTACTGGTGTGGCCACCAGGCGGCCACAGATAAGACCTAAAGGAATTAACATGGCTGTGTTCCAATTAGACTTAGTGGACACTTGAATCTCAGACAATTTTCACATGCCACACAATATTCTTCTTTTGGATTTTTTTCCCATTTAAAAAATGTTTGGAGATAATACAAAAAGAGGTCACGGGTTGATTTGGTCCTCAGGTTATAGTCTGCCAAACTCTGCTCTAAAAAATGAACGCAGCAATATCTGCCCCACTTACTTCACCTTGAAATATTTTATAAGTAAATATATAAATTGCATAAGCATAGGGAAGCTCTAAAGAAAATGACCTAGAGATTTTAGTTATACATACAAAAGGCAAACCAAGATTTTAGTTGTATATATGTAATGCAACATAGATACTGAAAGATGAATGTGGTTCTGGGTTGCTTTAAGAGAAAAATTGGGTCTGGGCCACAAGAAACGATCCCAATATAATCTCCAGCTCATGTGGTTGAGAACAGAGGTTTATTTCTGAGAGCCAGTTCGAAGGAAACCATTAAATTTGGTGGTGTCCCTGGAGTAGGGCTGCTGAAATGTAAAACTATGTTTGAGGAGGAAAGCATGAGGCTTATCTAGCGAGAACTAGAGCCAATGGGTAGAAGTCAAAAAAAGTAGACACAAGTTCAGTAGACAAACTAACTTTCTGAGAGCTGCAGGTGTCCAATGGTGACATGAGCAATCTTACAGTGAGAGGATTCAAGTAGAAGCTGGATGACCACCTATCAAAAATGAGGTATATTTGGAGTGCCTGGGTGGCTCAGTTGGTTAAGCATCCAACTTCAGCTGAGATCATGATCTCATGGCTCACTAGTTCGCTAGTTCGAGTCGGGCATCGGGCTCTGTGCTGACAGCTCAGAGCCTGGAACCTGGAGCCTGCTTCAGACACAGTCTCCTCTCTCTCTCTCCCCCTGCTCAAGCTCTGTCTCTGTCTCAAAAATAATAAACATTTAAAAAAAAATTTAATGCGGTATATACTCTGTTACACTGCCTAGGAGAGAGGGTCAGCTAAGTGACCTTGAAGTTTCCTTTTTGTCTCGAATATTCTAGAGTCTATAAAATGAGTAAATGCCTAGAAAGAACTATGCAGAGACTTGATGTGCAAGACAGCTGGGAGTCTTAGTGACCCCATGTAAGCCCTCTCTTACTGACAATCCCATGGATAGTGACTAAGTCTTCAGCCTCCCCAGCTTCATTCACACCAGCCTCACCACTAACCCACTAGCCCCACTTCCCAGAGTGAGGGCTTCAGGAGGTACATGTGGGGACCCCAGTACTCAGTAGGGCAGGCTGCCTCCCTGGCTCCCACCTCAAGCTCACCTTGATCTTGTGTTGGGGCAAAAGATTTCAGGAACTGAATTATTGGTGAAAAGGTATAATCAAAGAGATGTGCCACTTAGAAAAATAGCTGGTTATTCAAAGGCAGGTCATGGGAAGGAGAGAGATAAAGAAAGGCTTAGGAGAACAACATTTTCCAGCCATCCTCTCTGTGCTCAGGGTCAAGGCTTTCTCAGCGCTGAGCCCATGGTTATCCTGTGCTCTGAGAGCCATTTCTACTGACATGAACTGACTTTGGGTGCAAAGTGAAAGAACAGAGTGTCTTACCCTTCTCGTTCATCATCCGTGTTGTAATATACCTGTGGAAGAAAACAATAGGCTTACTGTAGGTCAGACGCAAGAAATGGAAATCTACTACTTGATGCACAGACTTTCCTAAGCTCTTACCCTGTCTCTTAAAGACAAAAGACAAATCTGTTTAATGATGCTGTGTGTGTGTGTGCACGCGTGCATGTCCTCAAGGAAATACAAATTTAACCTCATATTCTCCCTAGGATTAATTCTTAGATTTTAAGGAAGTAAAATTAGAAATATGATTATTTCTCGCTCAGGTCATTCTGATCAGATTACCTACAGCGCTAAGCCAAATCTTGCTTTCGACATTAAAGAAATATTTTGGCAGGATCTAATATTTCAGCAGGATCTCCGGAGCAAAGCCTGTGAGGAACCAATCCCATCGGGTCCACAGCTGAGCTGCCTACACATACTGCACTCTGGCGAAGAGAGGGGGGCGAGGAGGCCTCCATGCCAGTGCAGCAGCAACATCATCCGGGGCTTCCTCTAGCTCCCTGAAAGGGCCTGGGTTATTCCTTCACCCCGCAACCACAGACATTTAGCAGTCAACCGTCTTCAGGCTGGGGAAAGGTCATGCGCCTCTTGGAGGTGCTCCGGGCCAGAAGACACCTGGGAACAAATTTCTTTTGGTGGTCAGCACAGTGGCAGGCAGTATCAGATTTAAAGAAATTATGAAGCGCCCGTATTTTTTTATGAAACTACAGAAATCCAGAGGGGGATCTGGTATTTATCTCTCAGCCCAGTTGTTTATAAAAATTAATTGCAGGCCTTTCTTCACCTTTATCTATGTGCTTTCGGGCCATTTCTGTTTGGGTGAAGAACAATACCCAAGTTAGTATCAGACTTTTACATTTTTTTTTTAATAGTTTATTGTCAAGTTGGTTTCCACATAACACCCAGTGCTCACCCCCACAAGTGCCAGACTTTTACATTTTAACTTGGAAAGTCACTTCTGGTTCTAGTGCGTTTTGTCATCGCCCCTTCCCCAGCCGCGTGGGAGAAAAGCAGCTTTGCCTGGATCTGCCACCTTCCCTAAAAGGTTCTCAAAGCCTCCGGGCAGTTCCTGGGATGTTGCCACGCCCGGGCTGCGCTACAAAACAAAGCTGGTTACCAGCACCTCTTTGGGCATGAGTCATTCTAGTCAGTGAGATTTCCACAGGGAACTCTTCCCTCTTATTATTGTTAGGCTTCATGCCCACCACAGAGCCCAACACGGGGCTCAAACTCACAACGCTGAGATCAAGACCTGAGCTGAGATTGAGAGCCGCACGCTTAACCACTGAGCCACTGAGCCACCCAGGTGCCCCTCCCCTTAAAATTTTTTTATGTCTATCGTTGTATTGCCTCCTTTGTTTCTTCTTAACAGAAAAGAACAAAGGTGAGATGTTTTCTTCCTCCATACCCCAAGTTTCGGTATGGTACAGGGGCATTTGTTACCGTGATGTTCTAGAAACGAGACTGTCTATTTAGGTGACGTAAGAGAGGGAGCCTGGGCCATGGAACTGACCACACAACTGGACTTTTTAGAAAAAGTTCCTGATGCTGGCCTGCTTTTTGGTAGTTTCTTTAAATGTGGCATATTGCGGCTGCCTTGTCTGACTATAGGCAGGGTCATAGACAGCTCTCTACAAAGTTGATTGGTGCCCCCAAAATGAAGCAGCCTTCTCTTAAGTGTTTTCCTGCCCTCCTGAATGGCCTCTATGACACTCTCCCTATCACTGTCCTTAAATTCTCATTTCTCTCACGCAATGACTCACTGTTTCTTCCTTGTTGGCTGTAGGGCTTATTGCATGAATTTAATTTTTAGAGAGTATTTCTCAAACTTTAGAGTGCATAAAAAAATATCTGGAGAGACTTTGTCATAAAGGCAAATGCCTGGAACCCTCTTCAGAGATTTTCATTCAAAAGACTTGGACTAGGGGTGCCTGGGGGCCTCAGTTGGCTAAATGTCCCACTCTAGATTTCCACTCAGGTCATGATCTCACAGTTCGTGGGATCAAGCCCCATGTCAGGCTCTGTGCTGACAACATGGAGCCTACTTGTGATTCCCTTTCTCTGTCTCTCCCCCCCCCACTCCCCCTACCCATGCTATCTCTCACTCTCTCTCTCAATACAAATAAATAAACATTAAAAAAAGAAAAAGACACGGAATGGGACTTGGGAACCTGAGTTCATACCAAGCACTTTTGTGGGCTGGAGGAAGACTGTTTACAGATCACAACTGAGAAGACAGTTCTTGAGGGCACGAGGGAGGAGGGAAGTGCTCCTTGGGTTCAAGAGACTTGAGGAAGGCTGATGTCTGCAACGTCTGCATTATCCGGAAAGATGCCTCTGTATCTCACAATTTCTCCCAAGCTCCCCTTATCCCTTGCTTTTAAAGCCCTCCCAGAGAAAAGCCACAGTGACTACTTGGTATTTAATGTGAAGAGAGGGGGACTGAAGGCCTCCTTATTGCCTGCACACTGGGTTCATTCCCTTGTATTAGTGTCTGATAATTGTCTGATGAAGATTCCAATCCACACGTGCATCAATGAGGTAATGGAGGAGGAGGAGAGGACATGTGGGTGGACAGTGAACATACCCACTCCCCAGCCCATGTTCTCGGGTGACTAGGAATTGCTATGCCGTCGCTGATGAGCCCTCAACAGGGCTGGGGGTCTGTCACCGGCCCTGAGTGCCGGAGGGCTGCTCACTTTCTAGCTGCGCTGGGCTTTGATGTGTCTGATTTTGACTTGGCTTGTGTCTGCAGTGCTTCCTGAGCTGCACACTATCACCTGCCTTCCTCCTCTACCCCAGTCCCCAGTTATGGTGAAACTGGTCCATATTTTAACAGGCCACTGCTGGATCTTGCTCTGCACGGTGAAGTCAGTCTCTACCCCCACCACACCCATTTCTAAGGCCTTGGCACTGCCAGCTTCCCTCCTACCTCTGGACCCATCTTCCTGCTTTCTAGCTCTTCCAAGAAAAGGCAGCCTTTAAGCCCTCGCCAGCCACCGTAGGCGCTCCTGTCCCTGGGCCAAGTAAGTTGACCAACCATGGAATATTCATGCATTGTCCCAGAGCACAGCTGACTGTGTTCCTTTGTCACTCAAAGCTCACGCAGGCTCCCTCACCAACTATCTTAACTCTCACTTTAAGGCCACAGGGGAAGCCTGAGGCTCTGCAAAGGTGGCCCCAGATTATACACCTTAATTTCACCAGTAACTTGGGGGCCCTGAGCTACTTTGCAGCTGCTAAAACCAACAAACTTTAGACCATTTTCCATCTGATCTGGTCACAGGCTAGGAACTCAGCTCAGACAAGGAGGCCCAAGTGCATCCAGACGACTGGCAGCCATGAGCAGCCAGATCTGGTCTTTTCCTCTGAAGATTCACTTACACCTTTGTCTATTTCAGAGACCTGTTGCCAAGAGAACAGGTCAGGCTGTCAGCTTTGACGCAGAGCCACAGCCAGAACCATGACAATCAACAGTAAGAACAATTTAACTCAATTACCCCTTTTTCTGGAAAGTGTGGATACCCAGCTTCATAAAATCCCATGGCGCTAAGACTGTAAATATACAAATCACCATGTTCTTGGGAATTAAACAAATAAATAAAATGAGGTATTGGTGCTCCTAGCTTGATAAATCTTAACATTCTTCCTTCCCCTTTGTGTCCTTGCTCTTATCAAACAAGTCAGACAAGAATGTTAAACTAGGTTTTAGTGGAATGTACTCTAAGAAAAAACTATTAAGTATTTTGTTACCATGCTATGTCATGAATAGCAACAAAGAACCTGGGGTGTATAACTGCTTTGTCTCATACCTATAATGAACAATATTTGTGTGTATGGGGGTGGGGGACAAATAGATTCTTAAGGAGAAAGTTGAGCCAATAACAATTTCTCCTTGTAAGGTCAATTCCACTCAGTGTCTGAACACTTAGAACAGAAGAAAAACTTGAGTGTGTCGGCATGCCCCTATTTCTCAAAACAAACCTTTCGTCAGAGGACTTTGAGTTTGAAAGAAGACTAACCTATATAAGATTCACTAAAAGCCATTTGATTTGGTGAAAGACAAACCTGCCTAATGCGAGGGAAGTACTTTTTTTCCACCCAATTTTAATTTACCACATAAAATAGGTAATACTAAAACTCCTAAAGAAAGAAAAAAATCATCCATCACTTAACCCCACTCATCAAGTGTTGCAATTTTTCTTGTTACCTTCAAGTTCAGGTATATATCTAGAATCACAGTATGGACACAAATGGGTATTTTAATTTTTTCTTGCACTGAATATTATCCTAACTAGTTCTTCTGTTGCTACATAATTTCCATAATTATAATTTTAGTGGCCACATAATATTTCATCAAATTGAGCTACCGTAATGAGTTAATTATTGGGTGTTTATGTTATTTTAATTCTAGCTCTTTAATTTCCACTTGTAGATATAATGAGAAGACAGGAATTACTTTTAAAAAGGCAAGTCTACGATCTCATTTTTTTCTTTTGGTGTGAAATGATTTACCTAGTCAATGGGAACTGTTCACTTACTAAGGGAAAAATTGTTGATATGGTTTTATTTAGTTGAAAATGTTTTCTTCTTGGGCAACTTTCTGAAGTTACAGGTGCAGTTCAATTTCCCACCATCAGGTGGAGCTCTATCGCATCAGGCTAACCTCCCAAGACCACAAGAACAACACCTAACTTTTCTCAGGTTATCAGCGTCCTTACTTTCTTCCTCTTTCAGTGCTTTGTCAATACTTCACTAACATCAGCTCACTCTCTTCTTCCTCTTATTAAGTCAGCTTCCTCTCCTGAGACATTCCTTTCCATAAAAATCCATTTTCTTACAAAGTGACTGACTTTTCATGGAGTGCATGGAGTGCAGGTGTTATTTTCAAGGTCGACGCTGCCTGATGTGATTCTCTCTCAAGGCTCCACCAGCCCCGTGGATGAATGGCAGGTGGATATTAGCAGATAGGTCCTACCTGTCCTGTCCTCTGCAGGTTTGCAAAGTGAACATCGGGTATGAAGAGCACCGGCTGCGAGTGTAGATCGGGCATGGTTTTGAAGTAGGTGATGTCGCTCTTCTTCTGTAAGGGTATTGCCGCCAACTTCCCATCAGAGGCTGGACGTGAGAGGGTTACACGTGACTAAAACCTCTTAGTGTGAGTAGCCCTAGTCTGAGTTCACTGTTTTCTCGTCTGAAGCTTTCCAGAAGCCAGAGACATGAACACACTTTACCATCGCCCCCTCTCTTACTGCCAGACCAACAGAAAGAGCGTGAACTTTGGACGAGCACTGCTGAGGTGGCTGGCACCTCTCATGCCCTCCTGTCCCTCTCTCCATCCCAAATTCTTTGCCTGGAGGAGGAAGATGTTGGTCTCCATGATATTACAAAGTCCTTCCTGGCCAAACAATCTGATCACGTGATTCCATCTGCTCCTCCCAGAGAAAATTCACCCAGTGTTTATGGCTAGGGGAAAGCCAGCCACGCCTCACATATCCCGAGTTTTGCCCTCCCCCCACCTCTTTCCACCTGTTTCCCTGATGGACCTGGCCCGGCCGGAGCCCACCCCTCCACAACACTCACAGTTGTTGCACTGGGTTTGGGAGGCCTGGCCTTTCCCCTTCTTCCTGTTCTGCTTCCTCTCTTCATCTCGGATTTTCCTTTCTGCTCCCTGACAGGGAAAAACAATGCCAGGTATGTTATCAGAGCATGCAAAAATACTGTCCGCACACAAGCCTCTAGGATAAGAAACACGACAAGGGTAAAGGGAGAGCAGGCAGCCCCCTTTCCGTCCCTCCAGCGAGGTCATGACTCGGTACTTGAAGGCTCAGACAGATCCTCAGTCTGTAGCACATTTTGACCTCTGACTGATCCCACTTCTTCCAGATTTTCCCCCTTTTCTGAAATCCTGCCTATCTATACAGCTTCAATTTTGAATCCACACAGAAAGACCAGACTCAGGTTCCTATCCCAGTGAGGAGGGTTAGGTAACTTTAGTGATTATAATACGATGTCATTAAGATAAAGCGCTGGCCTATTAACACGATTCCTAGGCACAGGGAGGGCATTCAGGCTTAGTGTGAATTCCATATACAACTTCCCCTTTGCTCATTGTCATGGAACTTTTAAAAATCACTGTAGTAGTGGAAATGAGGAAAGGTCTAAGGAAACAGTGTAAGATCATTTTGCACATACAAGTATGATTTTGGTTTTTGTTTTAATGTGTGCACAAGTGCTTGGAGATTGTGGTCATTCAACCAAATAGAAAAAAGTTTGGTCCGTTCATCTCCTTTTTGATCCTCTGCTCCTGGTAATCTGACTTTTTCATTGGCTTCTCTTGCCAGATCCCACCCTACTTAACCAGGTGACCATCACCTTATAGCTCTTTCCTTCTTGGCCTTCAAGGATTCCTGGATTATTATTACTATTATTATTGTCACTCTCCATTGTCAACTTTGCCAACTCATTTCCCTCTTCTCACGCTTCCAAATACAGATGCTCCAACAGTGTTCTTTTTTTCCTCTCTCTCCATTCTTGTTGCCGAAGTTTACCTGCACCCGTATTTCCATGGTGCTCTAAGACAGGTGGCATCTAGATAGACACCCCCAGACTACACTCGTCCCCTAGATTTCAGATGCGCATCTACAGTATCTGTCCTCTGTGGCAGTGCACTGGCCGGCAACCTCCAGGTATACACTGCCCCGAGTCATCACACACAAAAAAGACAGATTTGAAAATATAAAAATTTAATCCTTCTGGTATAAAAAAAATAAAAAATAAAAAATAAATTAAGTAAAGGCAAAACTGGTGAAAATACTGTAACAAAACATGATTCAAATTTAAAAAAAAACTAATACACCAATTTTAAAAATGGACAAGAATCATGAAATAGGTACTTCGAAGAAAAAGACATATAAGGCTCTTGGAAACATTGAGAGAAATATTTTGCTTATTAAATTGGCTTTTTGAAAAAAGCAGATTCCCCATTCTGGCCAAAGTAAATCCAGGCACAAGAGATTTGGAGATCTGTGGTCAATGTGAGGATCATAAAGAAGATAGCATTACAGCTCATTCTTGAAAAATGAGTAATTATAGCTAATATATACTCTGTGCCAGGTGTGTTCTAAAAGGTTTACATAGGTTCTGGACAGATATAATAATTTAACCAGATATTTTAAAAAAATTTTTACACTTATTTTTGAGAGAGAGAGAGCACAAGCAGGGGAAGGGCAGAGAGAGAGGGAGGTATAGAATCTGAAGCCTGTTCCAGGCTCCACACTTTCAGCACAGAGCCCAACACGGGGCTTAAACTCACAGTGAGGTCATGACCTGAGCCGATGTTGGACACTTAACCAACTGAGCCACCCATGCGCCCCTTTTTAACCAGATATTTTAAGTGTGTTTTGCTGTCAAAACACTTTTCACTACCAAAAGGGACTAATTGGTTTATAGTGCTTCACTATTAAGTTTTGAATTGTCATTGATAATTATACATCACAGACATTCACATCAATAGGGAAATAAAATACAGAAATATATCCTTTGGTAGTTCCTTCAAGATATATTAAAGTTTTGTACAGTTTTTGTATGTAGATTATAAAATGTTAAAAGTACAGACCTCACCTTGTCGAAATTGGTGTGAAATAAAAGCAAAAGTCTCCTGTTATTCATTTTTTGTTAGGTTCATATAAGACATTTTTCCATGTACTTGGAGTTCTATACAGTATGGTAGTTAATATAAATAAAAATGTGAAATTTTATATAAATTACAACTCACTGAAGATACACCCAAGGTTGGTCAAGCAGTTTTATCTCCAAACTAGCACTTTATTTGGTACTATTACTATGAGGAAAAGATCTGGAATTAATGTTTCAAGACTTCTACATATTCAATGTCAATGTTTATGAAATAAAGTCACCTGCTTATTGTTTTACAGGTACACTTTGACGTGCCACACCAAATGGATTAACATAAAACGTAAGAGTGGCTCCTCATAGACCTCAGTCTTGCCGCCATGTCTATATAAGAAGTTTCCTGCCCAGAACGCCCAGATATCGGCATGATAAAATAACAAGTCTGATGGTATCCAAACATTTCTAGTTCCCATTTCTAAAATCAATCTTTGACTTCACAATGACCCAGAAAAGCTTAGATACATTTAATTAAGATGAAGAAAGCTTCCTTGAACATGACCTTCCATGAATTCCTTTCCTTACTTTGATTATCTGTGACCTTAAGCTTCTAAAAGACATTCTTTCCACTCTTATCAAAGTGCAAAAAGTCTAGTTCTTCCAGAACAGTATAATTTTATCATTTAAAAGACCAAATTTGGGGCGCCTGGGTGGCTTAGTCGGTTAAGCGTCCGACTTTCGCTTAGGTCATGATCTCTTGGTTTAGGTCATGATCTCGCGGTTCCTGGGTTCGAGCCCCGCGTCGGGCTCTGTGCTGACTGCCAGCTCAGAGCCTGGAGCCTGTTTCAGTCTGTGACTCCCTCTCTCTCTGACCCTCCCCTGCTCACGCTGTCTCTCTCTCTCTCTCTCTTACAAATAAATAAAAAACATTAAAAAAAAAAAAGACCAAATTTGTCATTTAAAAATAATTTCCCCTGCCTAAGTGTTCTCTTTGGAGTGTGAGATTTGAAAAATATGCCTGAAGATTTCCTGATTATATTGTGATCACTTTGGCCACTTCTTGAGATGTGATGGCTATCTTTGTTTTATTTGACATTTAAATCGTTTCTTCTAAATTTATTTATTTTATTTTTTTTACAAATAGTTTATTGTCAAATTGGTTTGCATATAACACCCAGTGCTCATCCCCACAAGTGCCCTCCTCCATGCCCATCTCCCCCCTCCCCCCACTCCTAAATTTATCTTAAGAATGTGTTTTAACCGCTTGAAAGTTGGCCAAGGTACCAAGATGGTTTGCAAGGGAATCTTTAGCTTTTCATCATCTCCAACAATTGTCACCTCCAAGATCTTTCCAAACAAGAATTAATAAATAGAAATAAAATCTTTAAAAAAATAATGTAGCTTTATTTCTCAAGTTTTACAGAAAACATAGTTACTGTTTACAGTAATACAATTCTTGTTTTTCAGGAAAGATAATGGAAGTAATTAAATATAGGTATAAAGACAGGGACATAGGTATTGATATAGATAGCTATATAGATAGATCCCGAATTTTTAATGCATAAACATATATATTTCAAAAGAAGTATCATAATATACAAAAAAAATTTAGAGGTCTTTATTTGTATCTTACAGGTGTGTTAATCATAAATCAAGCTGGAGAACTATAAATAGTGCAGAATTTCATCTGTTTAGGGTTCTCAACTATGATTAGGAAACAGGATTGTAAAATGGAATGGCTCTTAGCTCTTTTGCCTTAGAAGATAATCCAAATGAATCATTTGCATTCATGCACCCATTTGAAAAGTGGAAAAATTAAACTTTTTCTCTTTTCAGTCTTCCAGGAGTACGTTTCACCTGGGTTTTGAAATTAGAGCTGCGTATATGGCAAATTACAGCAGAAGATTTTACATATAGCTTTTTAGAAAAACTACCAGCAGGTAAGGTTAATGCACCCTGCTTGACATTTCTTCTTTATCTTTAACAACAGGAGAAGTAAGCTCAAAACTCCCCCCTGGAAACTCTCTATATCACTAGTCTCTTGGAGTCCTCTGACATAGGTGAACGACAATGCAACACTCTCTATTCATCCTGCATTTTTCTCTTGTTCTGAGTTTTAGTATTTATCATATCAACACAGTTGAAAAAAATAATTATATGAGCATCCCTTAAGGCCCCTCTTTCCCACTGTCAATTCCAGCTGCAATGTAAGGGTAAATGGATGGTTCAGTGTCTCTATTCCATCGTTTCCTCCCTTTCTCCTTGTCCCTAATCTCACTCCTCGCCTCCAAGAAGGAGATTCCTAGAGGGGAGATTCTACAATCTCCCTTGGAACATCTGGAATACAGTGAGGGAATTCAAATTATTTAAATGCTGTCCCACTTGGACTTTAAAAATTCCCTGTTGTACATCATTTGGAGATGCTTTTTAAATGTTTAATATGCTGAATTAAAGATATTAACTGACTTTTTGTTTGTTTTCTTTTGTTTTTAAAAGGTTACCTTGGCTCTTCATTGGGGCTTTGAATCATCAGCTGTCACTTTGGCTTCTTATGCATACAGCTGTTTATCAACTCAAGGAATATGAGTTTGGAACCAGCCCTGGACTGGCATCCAGCTCCTCTACTTTTTCACTGTGTAACTTAGACAAGTTACTTGTGCTGTTACCCTACTGTTTTCTCATTTATACGACTGTGTCTATTGGACTTCACTGGCCCCAGTATTGGGGAGGCTACCTAATTGTCCCTGAGAATGCTGTTGAAAAGTTTGATGACAAAAGCTTCTTTATAAAGTGAGTTTGTAATTATTCTATTCTATTCTATTCTATTCTATTCTACTTAGATGCCCCAAGAATATTTTTAAAGTCTAAGAAATGAACAACTTGGTGTTGATTTCCTGCATCAATTTTCCCAAGTATGTGCTGGTAGGCTGTTTAAATATACATATACTTATTGATATATATAGTTTATACTTTAAGTTTTTCAGATTTATTATTTTTAGCATTTGTTTTGTTCCATTATCTTATTTTATTTATTCATTCATTCATTCATTTAGTTTTTGAGAAGGAGCTCACTTTCTTGGGGGCAGAGCACTGCACATGGCCAACAGATGAAGGTGGGCCTCCTACCTATCACGCTCAAAAAGGTACACAGGAAGTGTTGCTAAGAAACATCAACTGGAACATGGATTCCTCCAACCTCATCTGTCCTAGGAGCTAGGACACTACCGACCATTTCCTTGAGGGCCAATGTGGTAGCTACAGATAGAACCCCTTGGGGGTTTGGTTTGCTATTGCTTTGGCTAATAAGGTTTTATCTGTGCCAGGTGGACCATAGAGAATGACCCCCTTAGGGGCTTTATATCCATCTCTTCATAATATTCAGGATGAGTGAGAGAAGTTCCACAGAGTCCTTAATTTCCTGGATTTGGGTGTACGACCCCTCAGTATCAGCATAGGTTTCCTGGGAGGACTTTTCTACCTTCACTGTGACCAATAGATCCATGTCATCCATTTCCTATGATGGCATGTACCTTGTGGGTGAGCAGGACTGAGCAGCCTGGTTCCAGAAGATCCTTGTCTATAAAGGAAAGAAAGCTGACGTAGTGTTCTGAGCCTACAGATGTAGACACGATGTCATGATTGTCATCAATGATCTCTTCCGATGTTCCTACCAACATTGTGGGTCTCCCTCAGTTCATCCACCTTTGATCTTACCTTCTTTTGCTTTTCTTCTAAAGGCTTCATTTGTTCCCGATTTCTAATGAATTCTTCCTCCATGAGAGGATAGTCTTTAATTCTAACTTTGGCAATTTTAACCAGCACTGAGTGTGAGGTGTCACCAGTGGCAGCTTGCTAGCAGCACCAAGTCTCTGTTTTCTTCTTCTTTTTCCTCACTCTAGTTGGTACAGGAGATTTGTATTTCTTTTTCTTGTCCTTGTCATCTTTCTTGCCACCTGCAGGGCCATGACCACAACTCTGACTCTCACCTATCTTCCTTCAGCCACTGGAACCCTGTTCCATTGTTTTAGTTTTCTACCTCAAAGACTCCTATTATATGTATACTGGATCTTCTTTACCACTCTCCTATATCTATTATTTTCTTTTGCATCTTTTTTTTTTCTTTTGATTGTTAAAATTTTGCTCTTTTTAACTTTCATTTCTCTTAACACATCCCCCGGTATATTTATTCACTCGTTTTATTTCTAGTGTAGTCTTTACTTCTGAAATATTTTAATCGTTTATTTCTGAATTTTGTGACAACTCTTTTCCAAATCACTCTATTCTCAAGACATGTCATGCCTGAGATTTTTATGTGATTTATGTTGGTCTTCATGACTTTGGTTTCACCCGTTTTTATGGGTAGGTCCACAGGGAAGTCACTGTGATCTTAATCTCTTTTTTCATGAGACACTGATTGGGATTCAACTGTTTTTTTTTTCTTTTCTGACGGTTATTTTTAAGTGAAATGAGTGAACCAAGATAGTTTTGCTAGCTTCACAGCTCTCATGCTGTCTCTTCAGATGTGTTTACAAAGTAATTAAAAAAAAAAAAAAGTCTTGTATTTCCTGAGCTCTAGCTACTCTATATCCTTCCTCTTCACCCTTTTTATTTGGAACTTCTATTTCCTTTGCACCTTTTTGGGAGGGAGTGGAAGGAGTCCAGTTCAACTTGGATTCTATTCCCAGCAGCTTTTCCTCAGAGCAGAGTTTTGCCATAGAATGGAACTTTAATTTATAACTTTCTGGAGTTCATTGAGCCCTGAACACTTCAACGTTCCATCCTTTTGCACCCAACAGCAAACCCTCCCACCCTGGTTTCACATGCAGTCCCCAGATGGCACACTTCACTCTGTAGTGAGGACCGGGGGCAATTTTGTAGATTATCTCTTCTTTGTTTATCAAGTAGCCCCATTGATTTCCCTCACAATGCTGGTATCATACAGGTCTTAAAACTGCTGTTGCTTATTCCCACATCCATATTTGGGATTTGTAAGGATCTCATGTCACACAATCATAAGATTTTAAGCTTTCCTATTCTAATTGCTCTATCTCTTATGGTGGGATTCAGAGTGATTAAAAAACTGTATCTCCTCCTGAGTGCATGTTTACTAATGAGTTTATTTTATAGGTGCCATTTCCATTCCAAAAGGCTCTAGATGAGACCCCATTTAACCCATAAAATAATACAGTTTATACTGATATGCTCTGGGACACATTTATACCCAGTAAAAACTATTAATCTGTTATTTCAGTTACCTAAGTGAATTGTACTCATAGCACAGTGCACTGTCAATTAGTCATTAAATTAGTGGTAAAAATGATTGACTAATAAAAAATACAGTTGATTAATGACTCCATAGATATCTAACAGGAATAGATTACAGGACAGATTACAGGACAGATTACAACTCCCAGTGTGATAAGGTGATTATTTTGACACCACCAGACAAGAGAAGGTAACAAGAGGGAAATATCATTAAAAATAATATCTAATAACAAAGATACCTTTATGATCTTTACTCACTTTGTCACAGAAGACCTTGATCTGGCAGTAAGCTCTATGAATGGGTTTATTGCTACGATTATTATAACTGTATGTATCAATCTGAATCATCAAAGGAAGTCCTTTCACTCCTTTCTGGGAGGAGAAGTCTGTACTCAGGCAATTCACAGTGATGAAAATCTGAGGGTAGGAGAGAGAAAGGGAAAAGTTCACAAGTCACCATAAAAAGGATCTATTAAAAAAATGCACAAGCCTAAGACTTGGAATCAAAACACTACATACACAATGTTATAAGGACAAATGAAGAACATCTGGATATGCTGAAATAAGAACATGCTGAGCATATAAAACGTTATATAATTTATAATTTAAATATATAAAAACTATTGCTTTCCTATTAAATCTTGAAATAGACAACAAATGCCTTCCTTCAGGCGTATCTGCAAAGTTTTACTTATTTTTCAAACATGCATAAATCAGATGTGTAAAACACTCTCTCTTCAACATATTATAGCTGTCACTTCTGATATTACATCACGTTCTCAAACCTCTGACCTGTGGGATTAAAACAAAACCAAAGACAAAGGTAGGTAACATCTCTCCTTGCACACGACTGCATCGAAATAGTTATTTGTTTATATATCTGTTTTTCCTCCTTGACTATTATTTTGAGATTTGAGACCATTTCTTACTATTTTTGTATTGGTCATACCTAATGTGGTGTGTGATGGAGTACAGGCATTCAGTAAACATGTGATGAATGTTATGAATGAGTTTATCTGTAGAAAAACCCCTAAGTTTTATTTCTTTTATTTTTTTTAAAGTTTATTTAATTTTTTAAGTAATTTCTACACCCAATGTGGGGATCATACTCACAACCCCGAGATCAAGAGTCACATGCTCTACAGACCGAGCCAGCCAGGCACCCCCCAAAAAAGCCTCAAGTTTTAGGTCTAGCTCTAACATTAATCAGCTAAGAGACCTCACACAGGTCACTTATTGTCTTTGGGTTTCAATTTTTTTAAGTCATTTTTAAAATCCTTCCCTGAAGGACAGAATATAAATTATTAACTTACTCTAGGGTAGTGAAAAAGCAAAAGAAGAGTTGGCAAAGGTAAGACATAAAATAGGAGAGGAAATGCAGTAAACTCACCAGGACCCTCATCTTAAAACAAGGGGCATCAAGAGACACAACATTAATAACATGAATACAAAAAAAACCGGAAACTCCAGTAAATTATTAAAGATGATAGTATTGACCAACAGAAGAACTAAAAATAATAATTTGTCTTAAATTGTTGAGAGGAAGAGAAGGAGGAGTGTAATGCCTAAACTTATCCTTATGTTACATAGTGAGTATATATCATTTATAGCTGATTTACCATGGAATAAAGGAATAGGTGCAGCACCTATACTTATGTGGTAAGTATATGAATATTAAGAAGTGTTCTCTGGGAAAACACAAGCATGTGTTTTCATTTATACCACATTTGTATTTTACATAGAACTTTAAATCGCTCATTGTTTTAAAACTGTACAGTTATGTATTCTGAAAACAATTTCATCAATGCATTATGTGACCCATGTGTTATTTGACCCCACTGAAATTTTTATTAGCTCTCAAACCCTTGACCTTTTGTGTCACAGCAACATCAAAAAGAACAGCCCTGCAAAAGCAAAGAGCCGCTGGCATGAGCTGCATTTTAAAAGCCATTCAAATCTTTGATTTTACTACCATGATTGATCTAATTCGTTTCAAGCTCTATTGCCTGTAGGCTTTTGGTAATTTATACAAGCAGATATCTCATTTTTAGTGCTATATCTATACAAAGATCATTTTTAAATTTTATTTCTGAGCCTCTTACTTGGTCATGAGAAACACATCGGTAAAGCACCACGTCAACAGTAAGGCTAAAATGGAATGTCTTAGTGACATGCTAATTACAACAACCTTGTGCACCGTGCCACAGACTCTCACTTTTCCAGCCACCATCTGAAAACACGTGCCTAGAGATGATCTAACCATGGGTACATTCCTTTCATTCATTCATTCTTATTATTCACTTGCTTATTCGTTCATTCTATAAACATCAACACAAGCCCACTGTGAGTCAAACACAACATTAGACACTGGGAACAGAGAACAAAGCCAGACCCCTGCCTCATGTAGTGGATGGTCCAAGGGGAAGACGGAGGAGTAATCCAGTAATAACCAACCAGTAATAAATGGTCAAGTACAGAGGTCATGAGAACACAGACACAGCACTGAGCCTGGAGGACATGTGTGAAACAAAGCCCGCACAGACAGCAGGATGAGACCATAGACTATAGTTATTCAGTAATGGTAGAGAGAAAGGACTAAAAATTCAAATGTCAAGGATTCAGGGGAATTGAATGATAAAGATCACTGAGAAAGACTACGCCAGGCCTGTTTCTCCTCCTGAACTTTCGGGGTAAAAGTAGACAGAAAATGCTGTCTGTTGCTCCTGGAGATATCCTGACTGCCGAGAACATTCATGTGAGCCACAAATACCTAAATACCTACTATGTTCCTGAGACCATGCTAGGCACTAGTACAAATGCACCAATTGTAGTCCTGTAATCACAGAAGTCAGAGGCTAGATGGGGAGAGGAAGGCAACATAATGGTGCTTGAAAGACTATCACGACGTCATCAAATGCTGATCTTTAGGTCAAACAAACAAATAAAAGTATACTTTCCTGGGATCACTTGACTTCTACTACTGTTATTGTTATTACTGACAATAGGCTTATCTTGGCCACAATGTTTAAAACACAGCTTTATATCAGCAAATCAATGATCACTCTGGGGAGCTATGCAGTTGTCTGTGTTTTTGACCTTAGATATCATACAGAAATCTTTCTGTAGTGACTATAATTCACGGGGTGGGGGGGAGTGGTGGGCGGGGGGGAGCGTTCAGTGCAGACTGGTTCTTTTCTCCTCCCTCATAAAACCTGCCTAGTACTACAGAAGCCAAAGAGAATAGTGTTCTGGTGCATATTTCCTAAGGTATTAGGGTTCATGCTTGGATCAGTGAATGACCCAAACATCACATACAGTGGACCACACTCAGACAGGCAGATGCAATGATAATTGTGGCCTTTGTCAGTTCCAAGTCACAACTAAGAGAGCTGAGCTGATAGAATGTGTGTATTTACAAGGACCACTTGAGTGGGGCACATCTACTGGCAATATACCATGATAAATAGACTAAATCCTCCCTGGTGGAGCTGTAGCAGTCAATCTCCCAGTAGAGAAGGTCTTTAAAGGTCAAATGAGCTACAACACACTAGATTCTACTTGAACACACTTAGACTAGGTCCTTTTAATGGGAAAGATTCTTAGCAGAAGGTCCAATGGGCTCTCTTTGATTCGTGGTATCCTGATTCTATACAAATTAAACAATATGATAATCTGCCTTCTCTGCTACATTGAGCTGGCAGCTCCCAAAACTATCCTAACAGGCAGGGATTTTATAATAGAGTTGGCACCACTCTCCTCTTGCCTGGCTGCCTGAACCAACAGTGAAGCACAGTTTCAGTGCCCGATGGTATCAATCATAGTTTCGCTGTGCTGCACTTAAAACCTAAATGGTTGAACTTTAACTGCGGTTGGGGGCCGGAGGGGTTGGGAAGGTATGGAAGGACATTAACGAAAACCCTGGCTTGAGAAATGATAAGCATTTATGTGTTTCATCTTGCAAACCCAACCATGTCCCAGCGCCACGCACAGCAGGCAAATGTGAAAGCCATTTTCTTGGAAGTTTATCTACAAAGTACTGTTTGCAAACAGTATGTGTGTTACAGAAACTTAGGGAAAAGGTATGCTTTCTCCCCACCAAATGTTCATCCAAATGTCAAGCACAGAAAATTCTTTTTGACTCCAGTAGGAGCCCTGATTATGTAAAGAGCATATAAATGCCATGAACAACTGGGTCTTTCACCCAATAATTATGAATATTGTGTATGTTCATATAATGTTTTCAAAATCTGTTATTAATATTCCTGTAATTCTGACAGCACATAATTTATTCTTTAGAAAAATACTAACCAAATCAGGTGTATCCAGACAGATAATAGATAGTATTTTAATTTTGTGATTGGTTCAAAAATTGACTCAGAAAGATTGTTTCTTCATATACCAAGACCTTTCCAGAAACAGAGGGAGTCTCATGACAATTGACATTTCTTAATAAAATCTTTTTTTACATAGGAATTACAATTCTAGTTTGTAGTTCCTACAAAAGACAAGTGACTTTGCCCAGAATATAATAACTCTCAGTTGCGCACCAAGCCTAAGATTTATCAAAATAAATACAGATCAGTGGGGTTTCGAATTACCACATTAACTTGATTATTAACTCCTAAGATTTTTTTCAAGAGCCTGCTTTTAAAATAAATGGGCCTATCTTTGATTTACAAAGCAAGCTGAGATTTAAAAAATCATAACATCTGTGATTTGATGGAAAATATTTAGTTTTTCCTTCTTAAACAACGGATTTTGCATTTTAAGATTCTTCTGGTTAAAGATGAGGACAGTTCCTTCTTTCCTTATTTTGAGACTCTGAAGAGCTCTTTTCCAAGAAATCACACAAGCATTAGCCTCCAGATTAGAGCAACATAGCATACAACAAGAAATCAGCATTCTCCCTCTAAAACACAAACAATATATAAATACATTAAGTGTACTCTTGCCAATTTCCCCACTCTGTTTTCTTCTTGGTTCTTGGAATTATTAAAGACCATATAGATGGCTTTCTTAAATATCAGCATTTTCCTCCATTTTATATGATAATATTTGGGTACAGAGGCAATGCCAAATTAAGACAGAAAGACAGCCTAAAAGTAGACAATATGAACACGTGAACTGTCAATCTTCGGCATTCGTTCATTCATTGCCTTCAGGCATTAATTTAGCAAACGTTTATCAAGTGTTTTCTGTCTGTCCCTGGCATTATACTACACGGTGGGACAAGAATGATAAGATAAGGGCACCTGGGTGGCTCGGTTGGTTAAGCGTCTGACCTCGGCTCAGGTCTTGATCTCATGGTTCTCATGGTTCTTGATCTCATAGGTCTCAAGCCCTACTTTGGGCTCTGTGCTGACAGTTCAGAGCCTGGAACCTGCTTCTGATTCTGTGTCTCCCTCTCTCTCTGCCCC